CATCACGTTACCTGATTTCAAGCTTTACTACAAAGCTGTGATCACCAAGACAGCATGGTACTGGCATAAAAACAGACACATAGACCAGTGGAACAGAGTAGAGAGCCCAGATATGGACCCTCAACTCTATGGTCAGTTAATCTTTGACAAAACAGGAAAAAATATACAGTGGAAAAAAGACAGTCTCTTCAATAAATGGTGCAGGGGAAACTGGGCAGCTATATGTAGAAGAATGAAACTCGACCACTCTCTTATACCGTACACAAAGATAAACTCAAAATGGATAAAAGACCTCAACGTGAGACAGGAATCCATCAGAATCCAAGAGGAGAACATAGGCAGTAATCTCTTCGATATCAGCCACAGCAACTTCTTTCAAGATATGTCTCCAAAGGCAAAGGAAACAAAAGCCAAAATAAACTTTTGGGACTTCATCAAAATCAAAAGCTTCTGCACAGCAAAGGAAACAGTCAAGAAAACAAAGAGGCAACCCACGGAATGGGAGAAGATATTTGCAAATGAGAGTATAGACAAAAGATTGATATCCAGGATCTATAAAGAACTCCTCAAACTCAACACACACAAAACAGATAATCATATCAAAAAAATGGGCAGAAGATATGAACAGACACTTCTCCAATGAAGACATACAAATGGCTATCAGACACATGAAAAAATGTTCATCATCACTAGCCATCAGGGAGATTCAAATTAAAACCACATTGAGATATCACCTTACACCAGTTAGAATGGCCAAAATTAGCAAGACAGGAAACAACATGTGTTGGAGGGGATGTGGAGAAAGGGGAACCCTCTTACACTGTTGGTGGGAATGCAAGTTGGTGCAGCCTCTTTGGAGAACAGTGTGGAGATTTCTCAAGAAATTAAAAATAGAGCTTCCCTATGACCCTGCAATTGCACTACTGGGTATTTACCCCAAAGATACAGATGTAGTGAAAAGAGCCATCTGTACCCCAGTGTTTATAGCAGCAATGGCCACGGTCGCCAAACTGTGGAAAGAACCGAGATGCCCTTCAACGGACGAATGGATAAGGAAGATGTGGTCCATATACACTATGGAGTATTATGCCTCCATCAGAAAGGATGAATACCCAACTTTTGTAGCAACATGGATGGGACTGGAAGCGATTATGCTGAGTGAAATAAGTCAAGCAGAGAGAGTCAATTATCATATGGTTTCACTTATTTGTGGAGCATAAAAAATAGCATGGAGGACATGGGGAGTTAGGAGAAGGGAGTTGGGGGAAATTGGAACGTGAGGTGAACAATGAGAGACTATGGACTCTGAAAAACAATCTTAAGGGTTTGAAGAGGTGGGGGGGTGGGAGGTTGGGGGAACCAGGTGGTGGGTATTAGAGAGGGCACAGATTGCACGGAGCACTGGCTGTGGTACAAAAACAATGAATACTGTTATGTTGAAAATAAATTTAAAAAAAATGATTAAAAAAAAATGCCCTAAGAACGCCCTACTTAGCGGCTCATTGCCAAGAGTAGTTGAAACAGAGTTGTAAGCTTGAACAGCTTAGGAATGACATTTGTTTTGTTTTTGCTGTGTTTCAGCTTTCAAAACAAAGTACTTAAGAATTTTTCAATTGAATTAAACAGCCAAATTTTTAGTACGCTGTCTAGGTGTGTCCAAAAACTCAATGTCATTATTTGAGAAAATGTTTTATATTTTCAATTGGTTCAGATTTTATTACCTGGTTTCACCTTTCTTAGTAATTTTAATCAGTGAAGTCTAGACTTAATTCTTTCAGGACTCCCAAGGTAAGATTTCAGATTATTTCTGAAGGCATTTGGGCAGGAAAACGTGTGTGTGTGTGTGTGTGTGTGTGTGTGTGTGTGTGTGTACGCATGCACGTGTGCGTGCAGGCGCTATTTGGCATTAGACAAAGATAGTTCTGGTCGAGCACTGATTCCCTGGATGACCTTAGTCAAGTACCTTTACCTCTACCTCTGATGCCTCAGTTCCCTCATGTGTAAAATGAGGAACTCCACCATACTGTTGGGAGGAAATCCACACATTCTGAAGTTCAACCCAAGGGTGTGAATCTCTTTTTTGACATCCCAGAAAACTAAACATCCCATTTCATCATGATATCCCCAATGACCTCCACTACATGCTTCCTCAAATAGTCCTTTCCAAGTTTTAGAGAGTGCTAACCTGTTTCTAACATCAGAGAAGTGCTAGTTTTCTTCATGAATGGAGAAAAGATAGTTATTTGTTTGTGTGTGCACTTGCTTGGTTGTTTACATATCTGGTTTATAGCAGATTTTCTCCAAGGATAATTCAATATGGCAAGAGGATTTCACAAGCGCAAGAGACAGGAGTTCACCAACAATGACAATGATTTTTTCTTGCTGTCCCTTGTTTCAATTTCATTTTACTTAGCTCCGAAATTTCCCTAAAAAGCTCTCACATTTTGTAGCTTTAATTAATTCCCCTGGAAGACTCAGAAATGTTTTTCTCACAACACAACATGACTCCTGAGAACACTGGAAATGGCATAACTTCACTGGTGGTAGACACACACCCTAAAAATTCACCTCTGGCCCCACATGAGCCTGACTCTACCTACTCCTCTGGTCTTTAACCTACCATTTCATGTCCGGCATCAGTATGGTTGAGACTGAATATCAGTTATTTTAATCTCATGGATTTGGCTTCAGGAAAATGCTTCCAAGACTCTTCTCAAAAGCAGGTGCACTGCAGAGAGCTCTGACCTGGCCCTCTCCTTGATTCCTGCTTGGGAAGATCAGGAGTCAGTCACTGACTACCACTGGCATTTATCGGCCCTCTTGGTGTGGATGCCATCTGATTAAGCATCTGTAGGTGTCAGGGCCTAGATGACATCCAGATCTTTCCTTCTGGCTGGACTTCATTGGCCAAATGTGGCCTTTCAGCACACATCTGTCCTCCAGGCTGGTCACACACTGGGTACTAGCATTTTGGCAGACAATAAAAACATCCCCATTACAGCTGTCTCTGTGTGGTTCTGTACATCCAAACTCTTAATTAGCTGACTTGCCTTAGGCTCATTATTCAGACTCTTGCCCCAGAGCCCCACAGTGTAGATTTTCCCATAGACGTTTTACACATCTTTCATTAGATTTATTCCTAAGTACTTGATATTTTACTTACTCCTACTTATTCCTATACTTTTTCCTGTCATTTCCTTAATTTCCTGTCATTTCCTTAATTTCATTTTGTTTTTGATATATGGAACTACGGTTGAATTTCTATAGTAAAACTCTGATAAAACGCTCTGCAGTGATGCAAATTTGGGTATAAAGCAATTGGTATTTGAGTCCTCCATCTGGCCTCCATTCTCACAGGTATACGGGCTAAAGTCTTTTTCTTGTGGGAGCAAGAGGGACAATTAGAAAGTGGCTGGTTATGCTTTATCGCCATGTGGGACTGCCTTTGGTCAACACATAGTCAACTGGGTAGAGTTTAACTGTCATCATTTTTGTTTTGTATTTGGTGTGTCAATACAAAGAACCTGAAAATATTTTACTTTACATTAACCTCACCGAGAAGGAACCTGTTCATGTTACTCTTTGAATTTTTGGACCCCACTTACAACATTATGGTGTGGTGTTGTATATTGATTTCATTTCCAGCCATCTTGTCAAATTTGTTTATTCTAATTCACTACAAATTCATTTAAATTTTCTATATCAACTACAAATAAAGAAATTTTGTTTCGTCTTTACACCTCTTTTCATCCTTACTTTACTGTATTTTTTTTCTTCTTTAGAGTCACTTATTTACAACAAATTTTCAGTAGGCTAAGGTCTGTTTTCATTAAAAACAGGAGTCTATCTTTTCTTGAGAAAGCATGTTCTGTTTTCAAATGAGCAAATGATATTAGGTACCCATGAAAGAAAATTATATAATTAGTGTGGATTAATTGATGGCTTAAGAAATAAAATTATTTTCCTTAGCTGAATACATGTAGTTTAGTGTGTTTTGAGTATCTTAACTGATGGAACAAAAAAGGGGGAAATGCAATACAACTGAAGAATGCAATAGACAGCAAAATCCAAGGGAAGTTGAAGGAAGAAAATAGAAGCTAATGAAATTGAAAACACATGGGCCTTAGTGAAAATCAATAAAGACAAAATTTGCTCTTTTGAAACAGAAATATAACCTCTGGTAAAACTGCTCAAGAAAAGGGAGGGGACGCAAATAACCAATATCAGGGATTTTTTTAAAAAAGACATCATTACAGAGTCTTCAGATATTTTTAAAAGACAACAAGAAGGTATTAAAGCAATTTTATGCCAAAAATGTAAAAATTTAGAATAAATGAACAAATTCTTAAGGAAAGACAAACTAAACTGACACATGAAGATATAAGAAAATCTGAAAACCCTATAACAGGTTTTTCAAAACCTCCCCTCAAAGAAACCTCCAGACCCTGATGGCTTCAATAGTAAATACTATTCATGTTCAATAAGAAATAATTCTATCTCCTTCTCTGCTAATTTGAATGCCTTTTCTTTTTGTTGTCTGATTGCTGAGGCTAGGACTTCTAGTACTATGTTGAACAACACTGGTGAAAGTGGGCATCCCTGTCGTGTTCCTGACCTTATGAGAAAAGGTCTCAGTTTTTTCCCATTGAGAATGATATTCATTGTGGGCTTTTCATAGGTGGTTTTTATGATATTGAGGCATGTTCCCTCTTTCCCTACACAGAGAGAGTTTTAATTAAGAAAGGATGCTGTGGGGGCGTCTGTGTGGCTCAGTGGGTTAAGCCTCTGCCTTTGTCTCTGGTCATGATCTCAGGGAGCTGGGATGGAGCCCTGCATCCGGCTCTCTGCTCAGCAGGGAGCCTGCTTACTCGCCACTCCCCAGCCTGCATCTCTGCCTACTTGTGATCTCTCTCTCTGTCAAATAAATAAATATTTTTAAAATTTAAAAAAAAAAAAAAGAAAGGATGCTGTGCTTTGTCAAATACTTTTTCTGCATCGAGAACTAAGTTCAAATGGTCAAGATTCAGTTGTTTTATCAAATGCACCAGTGCTGAGATTTGCCAGCTATCTAATGCCAAAAATTAGATGGTTATCACCCAAATACTACTAATTTATCTATTACTATATGCAATTACAAAATCACCACAGTAATCTTGAAAAAGCTTTTTTTCATCCTGTTCATTACTTCCAACTATCATTCAATATTCCATTTTTGGAATGACACGTGGAAAAACCTCCAAAATAACTTCAAACTAAAAACAAAGCTTACCCTACACTCCAGTCCAAATTTGAGTCATCTGACCATCACACCTCTTCAAACTGGGCTTAACTGAGAGGATCATTTGGTTCTTGTCCTTTCTTTCATTGATGTGATGTATTATTTTTCTTTACAGACAATTCAAGAAACATATTTACTACCATTTTAACTTAAATACATTTATTTTATAATTCTATATTTTTTAATTTCACAAGATATTAGTCTTATTTTTGTAAAATGCGTTTATATTTTCCTTCCTTATTGCTTAGTTCTACCTGCATCTCAAGCTCTTCTTTACAAACCACTTTCCTTTGATTGAAATTTCCCCCATAGGAATTCTTTTAGTGAGGATGTGATGGTAGCAAATGTATTCCATTCTCGAATGTTTGAATAATTTTCTTATATTACTTCCATTCTCGAAAGATATTTTCTTTTAAGATAGAATTCCAGACGAGTGATTTTTTTTTTATCACATTGAACATATTATTCCACTGGCTTCTATCTTCTTTTTTGTTGTTGAAAATGTGGCTTCCATTCTAGCACAGGGTAAGCAAACTATATCTCATGGTCAGATCCAGTTCACAACCTGGTTTCATAAATAAAGTTTTACTGAAATACAACCATGCCCATTCATTTATCTATGACCTATGGCTGCCATCACACTGCAATACCAGGTTTGAATAGTTTTGACAAAGAACATGTGGCCCTCAAAGCTCAAAACAACTACTTTTGGCCCTTTTTAGAAAAAGTTTGCTGACCATTAATCAAGCAGGAATTTCCTTTGAAGGTAATTAATATTTTTCTGCCTTCTTTGAAGGTTTTTTTCATTGATTTTCTCCATTTTTACTATATTTCTTTTTATGTATTGTGCTTGAAATTTTTTGGATACCTTAAATCTTTTGATTCATATCTGTTATAGGTGCTTAAAAATTCTTAGTGATCATGTCAGTTATCTATCAGTACAATTTCCTCCTTGCTTGGCTGAGCAGTCCTGGCTCAGGATCTCTCATGAGGCTGCTCCTACACATATTCATCGGTTGTGGCTACAGTCAACCAAAGGCTTGACTGGGGCTGGAGGATTCAATTCCAAAGTGGCCAATTCACATGGCTGGTAAGTTGGTGCTGGCTGTTGACAGGAGGCCTCAGTTCTCTTTACAAGGGCTCTCAATGTAGTATAATGTCCTCATGACATGGCTTACTTCCTACGAGACAAGCAATCCAGGACAAAGGACCTGGCAGAAGCTTCTCTTTAAATGACTCAGATTTGGAAGTCACACAGAATCATTTACCCCACATTCCTGAGATGCAAGTCACTAAACATAGACCACACATGAAGAAAGAGTAAATGAGGCTCCAACTAGCAAAGGGAGGAGTGACAAAGAATGCAGACATATTTCAAAACCACTACATTACCCTTTCTAATATTTCCCTTGTTCCTATTTTCTCTCACTTCCCTTGCTCTGGGGTTCCAGTTAAATCTAGGGTAAGCCTTCTTTCACTGTATCTATACCTCTTCTCTTCTCTTCTGTATTTTTTGACTCTTTATCTCTCTATGCTACATAATTCATAACTTCTTTTTTTTTAATATTTTATTTATTTATTTGACAGACAGAGATCACAAGTAGGCAGAGAGGCAGGCAGAGAGAGAGGAGGAAGCAGGCTCCCTGCTGAGCAGAGAGCCCGATGCGGGGCCCGATCCCAGAACCCTGGGATCATGACCTGAGCCGAAGGCAGTGGCTTTAACCCACTGAGCCACCCAGGTGCCCCTAATTCATAATTTCTTTTGACCAATTTTCCAGTTCATTGATTCTATCATCAACTATGTCTGATCTGCTATTAACCCCACCCACTCAGTTTTAAATTTCAGTCATTTCATTTCAAAATTAAATTTTTTGTTGATTGGAATATAAATTGTTTCTAGAAGTTGAATTTGGTTCACTTTCAAATCTACTAACTAACTTCCTACAATCTTTTATTCCTTGCAAATAACTTCAATTTTGCATTGTATTTCTTTAAACATAATCAGTAATGTTTTTAGACCTGTCTTTATTAATGCCAATATCTGAAGTCTTGTTAGGCTTATTTCTGCTCTTGCTGATTTTTTTTCTTAGAACCTACTTTTTTCATATGCCTGGATCTTTAAATGTTGTAATGAACATCTTACTTAAAAATTGTTTTGTCTGGCTACCTGAGTGGCTCAGTGGGTTAAGCCTCTGCCTTCGGCTCAGGTCATGATCTCAGGGTCCTTGGATCAAGCCCCACATCAGGCTCTCTGCTCAGCAGGGAGCCTGCTTCCCCCTCTCTCTCTGTCTGCCCCTCTGCCTACTTGTGACCTCTCTCTCTCTGTGTCAAATAAAATAAAATAAAATCTTTAAAAAAAAAAATGTTTTGCCTCAACTCTATGGTCAACTAATCTTTGACAAAGCAGGAAAGAATGTCCAATGGAAAAAAGACAGCCTCTTCAATAAATGGTGTAGGGAAAATTGGACAGCCACATGCAGAAAAATGAAATTGGACCATTTCCTTACACCACACACGAAAATAGACTCAAAATGGATGAAGGACCTCAATGTGAGAAAGGAATCCATCAAAATCCTTGAGGAGAACACATGCAACAACCTCTTCGACTTCAGCCAGAGCAACATCTTCCTAGGAACATCGCCAAAGGCAAGGGAAGCAAGGGCAAAAATGAACTATTGGGATTTCATCAAGATCAAAAGCTTTTGCACAGCAAAGGAAACAGTCAACAAAACCAAAAGACAACTGACAGAATGGGAGAAGATATTTGCAAATGACATATCAGATAAAGGGCTAGTGTCCAAAATCTATAAAAAACTTAGCAAAATCATCACCCAAAGAACAAATAATCCAATCAAGAAATGGGCAGAAGACATGAACAGACATTTCTGCAAAGAAGACATCCAGATGGCCAACAGACACATGAAAAAGTGCTCCACATCACTCTGCATCAGGGAAATACAAATCAAAACCACCATGAGATATGACCTCATACCAGTCAGAATGGCTAAAATTAACAAGTCAGGAAATGACAGATGCTGGCGAGGATGCGGAGAAAGGGGAACCCTCCTACACTGTTGGTGGGAATGCAAGCTGGTGCAACCACTCTGGAAAACAGCATGAAGGTTCCTCAAAATGTTGAAAATAGAACTACCCTATGACCCAGCAATGCACTACTGGGTATTTACCCTAAAGATACAAACGTAGTGATCCGAAGGGGCATGTGCACCCGAATGTTTATAGCAGCAACGTCTACAATAGCCAAACTATGGAAAGAACCTAGATGTCCATCAACAGATGAATGGATAAAGAAGATGTGGTATATACACAATGGAATACTATGCAGACATCAAAATAAATGAAATCTTGCCATTTGCGATGACATGGATGGAACTAGAGGGTATCATGCTTGGTGAAATAAGTCAATTAGAGAAAGACAACTATCATATGATCTCCCTGATATGAGGAAGTGGAGATGCAACATGGGGGGGTTAAGGGGGTAGGAGAATAAATGAAACAAGATGGGATTGGAAGGGAGACAAACCATAAGTGACTCTTAATCTCACAAAACAAACTGAGGGTTGCTGGGGGGAGGGGGTTGGGAGAGGGGGGTGGTGTTATGGACATTGGGGAGGGTATGTGCTATGGTGAGTGCTGTGAAGTGTGTAAACCTGACGATTCACAGACCTGTACCCCTGGGGATAAAAATACATTATATGTTTATTAAACAGAGTGATAACCATAAAAAAAATTGTTTTGTCTGTCCTGTACCTGGGGAAGACTACAAGTCCAGGAACATCTTTAAGCAAGTTCAAGGTCTGAGACTCCCTGAAAGACTCAGAAGCTTGGATCTCTGACTATAACTTCTCAAAAGAAATTTCCTACCTTTTTTTCTCTCTCCCAGAGCATGTAGAACATTTGTGAACTGCAGTTGAGCATGGTCAGAGGCTTGCTTAGACCCTCATTTTACAGGTTTCCTGAGTTTTTATGTCCACTTTATCTCACAGAGTGACCAAATAACCTCCCTGAAAAAGCACAGTAAATAGATATTAGAGTCAAGACTTAAACAAAGGCTTCTGTGTTCCCATTATGCCGTATCTGATCTCCATAATCAATAACTGGTAATGTTAGACAGTGATGACGATGGTATTGTTTTTTCATCCCCTTTACCTACAACATGGCCTCTAGGGACACAGTTTACTTAACAATGTTGGGTCATATAAGAATTAGATATTCTGGCAAAAGACCAATCCCACAGATGCTGAAGGCAGAAGTGCTGTCTTTTTACTATCTGGACTGTCAATGGTCAAAAGCAAAACCTTCAGCTTGAGTAATTTGAGAGGTGCTAGCTGACTAGTGGGAGAGCAACTGTGTATTTTCAGTGTGAGTGCTGCCATTGTTGCAGAAACTTAACAGCACTGTCCATAAAATAACAGGATATCTTTTCATGGCACATGTCAGCAGGGCCTCTGATTGATACACTGCATTGTTTTCAATCACAGTTTTATGAGGCCCACATTAAATATTAAAAACTGAGCTATATATTTGGAACAGTAATTAGTCTGAAGCAGCCTCTGTGCCTTATCCCCTGTTAAAGTTTTAAAGTAAACCAAGGATGATGAATATTTAATGTACTGTACCTCATTGTCATCTGATAATAAGATTTGTTATAGGGTTATAAAATGTTATGTTAGGTTCTTACAGCACATCATTAATATTGTAAAATGTAGCTGGGCTCCCAGGCAGAACTGCCTGACAGAAAAACAATAGAAAGATAAGTGATATCAACCATTTCCTCCAAGGGCT